ATTTTAGGCAGCAGCTTAAGTCAACTTTATAATCCAGGAGAAATAGTTGTTGATGCATCAATGAACTTATACATCAATGATAATATGAACCATCGCATCATGTTCTGGAAACAGAATGCAACAAGCGGTATTATGGTCGCAGGTACTGGCGTTTATGGATCTACGACAAGCACCTTCGGCAACGGAATTGGATTAGTGCGAGACTCGAAAGGAAATCTTTACGTTTGTGATAACAGTAATAGTCGGATCATGAAATGGGCGCCAAATGCCACTGCCGGTACACAATTCATTGGAAGTACTCAGATTAATCAACCCTATGGTCTCTTTATCGATGAAAATAATACGTATATTTATGTCACTGATTACGGTAATAGCCGAATTCAACGTTTCAATCTTTCCAATGCAACAGTCGGTACAACTGTAGCTGGTGGTTATGGATCGGGAACAAACAGTAGTCAATTAAATCAGCCCTACGCCGTTTGTGTCTCACGAGCAGGCGATATCTATATTGCCGACAAGCTAAACCACCGTGTGCAACTTTGGAGAGCTGGAGCAAAAACTGGAATAACCATTATTGGCGTAACTGGTGTTAATGGTTGCAATGCAACGATGTTAAAGGGACCTAGTCATGTTATGTTGAGTCCTGATGAAAGTATTCTGTACGTAAGCGACAATGGAAACAATCGGGTGCAACGTTATGTCATTACATGGTAGATTCACAATACTACTATCGACTGCTAAAGAATTGACTTTTTTTTCTAAAACAGACTTTATATTAACTTGATTTTCGTTATATGCTTAATGTACGCAAAAATGTGAGATCACATTTGACATCAACGAATCTCATATATTCATACTAGGAACTAATTGTACTAAAAATGCTTTTTTATTGCAAAAATTTTCTTATAAGAATTTAAAATTCTATAATATAATCATTTTATATGCATATATCTTTCTTGACAATAATAATGCTTTGTCATAGATTAAAACTTACGCTTGTGATTTATTTCAAAAGAAGAGAACTTTTAAGCTATGAAAAGTCTTTGTATCTAGCTAATTAGAACAATTCTCATTACTGAAAATGATCATCTTATCTTCACAATCGCAACCATATGTATACTCGTACTCATTTAATAATATTATTTTATTTACATAACATTCTTAATCATAAGATAGTTCATATAGCGTAGGCCAAAAGTAACACAACATGAACTTCTTTTGAAATTTGCTTTTATAGATATATAGTTCGATATCATATTTAACGTATATATATATTAGATGAATTTGTCAAAACATGTATTGTTGTATTTCTACCTTTTTGATATGACATCAAACTATAGATCTATAATGAAAATTTTGAAAAGAAGTTTATGTTATGTCACTTTTAAACCACGTTGTATGCAGGGGAGCATGGATCAAAAATAAGAAAAATAATTAGAAAACACTTGTATAAATATATACAAGCATCAACTCTATACTGCAGGTTTTTATCAATGTCTTGTGAATTGAATGCTTATTTTTTTTGTCTTTTTTTTCACGAATCTAGCTATGTTCCCTTGAAGTCTATGCATATTTATTATTAATCAAACAGTTACGAGTGAATATCAAGTGCTTAATTAATTCGATTAATCTTAAAAACTTCAAGTTACTCATTAAATCAACAATATCTACTTTCTTTTTCACTTTATTGTAGATCTTCAAGTTTTGTATTCTCAATAATTTCCAAAAATATATTAGCCATTCAATGTTGATCAATTATTTTTTCCACGACTTTTATTTTATTTCTTAAAGGTCTTTTTATCATTAGTTAATTTTTTTTTACAGTATATATAAAATAAAAATAAAACTATTGGAAAAAGAATTTTCTTATTGTTTACATTTAATATTCATACTGATTTCCGAAATGGTTTTTATACAAGTTCTAATAAATATCAATGTATATTAATTAATTTTTTTTTATTGATATACAGTTCATTTTCTCATATGCTTTCTTTTAAATTTATCTAGAACGATGTAGATGACAGTCAAGAATTAATATTGATCAAATAGTTTTATAATCATATTTGATTGAAGAAAGCTTAAAAATACTGTGTGATTTACTATGATCTTTAAATGAATAATTATTTTACAAGTAACACTCTTTCTCGTGAAAATATATCGTCTTCACATCTACTGGAAAAATCCGTTTTCGATGTTTTTTTGACCCTGTGGACACACAAGCAAACAATTTATGTTTATTGGACTCTTCTCTACGAGAAAGAGAACATTCATACATCAGCAATCTCTTTAAAAATTTCAACTCAAACGAAGTATTTTATATTGAATAAAATTATTATATGAAACATAAGAAAACTTTCTACATTATAGTATTTATTGAGATATTTCTATTAGAAATAAAAATCCAAGGTTATATAAAATAGTACGAGAATGATAATCAAAGAAAAAGAACAATAGATAAAGAACTGGAAGAAAAAAATGATATGAAGCAGAAAATGATAGATAGATCATATTTTCTTTACCATTTATCATCATTATTTTCTCTTTGTTCTTTTGTTATTGCCATTTGTAGTCGATTATATATGTATATATGTGTATGTTGTGAGTACGTTATCGAGAATATTAACGAGACAAGGTTAGTATAGAATTCTTTATATTATTTATTTCTAATTTAGATTAAAAAAAAGTTATAAAGTCAAGATATTTGATTATTATCATGAAGTGACAAATTGTAATCGTAGAAATTAAGATAGTCATCATTAAATATAATTCTCAATTCTGTCATTGGAAAAGTGAGTAGAATATAATATTTTGAAAATATTAATTTACAGACATCTTTATTTTAATTAATGAGAAAAAAAGAAATTAGAACTCTTCTTTCTATATATCATTAACAAATATGAAAAATTCAAGTTCTATTATGATTATTAACACAAAACCCTGATCTGGATTCAATATAACTACTCACATATTAGACAATCATAGCATTCTCTTGTCAGTTCTTTCACTTTTTTGAAAAGTGCCTATAATATAGCTTAATAAATCAATGTCTACCACTAGTCAATAGTAGCAATTTGTCTTTTCTTTACCATAATATCTTCAGGATAATTTGTAATCGTACATGAAAATAGATTTTTGATTTCTTCTTGTGAAGTTTGAATAAATATTTTTGTTAAATCAGGTATTTCCTAAAAGTTAGTAATAGCAGAAATTTTGTTTTTACTGTTGATTGTAATAATGATTTAATCATGAGTTTAAAGAATTAGAAGAAAAACAAAATAACGTTTATTTCCCAGTTTGTTTTATTAAAAATGAGAGAAACTATTGTTTCATAAATTTTTATTCTATTCATAGATATATTTTTCAAAATATAAAAATGCACAAAACTCGAATTCTTCTCGTATTTATTATATCATTAGGAATATCATTAATTTATGGAATGTCTTTTTTCAAAAATACTTTGATGTTTTATGATACTAATATAATACGATTATTAATTCGTTCGAATCCACCTATGGATAAATTTACTAAATGTTTACTTGATGCACAACATGTATTTGTTAATTTATCGTTACCATGGTTTCTTGCTTTTGGAACAGCTCTTATGTATTATCGATCAAATAATTTTATTTCCGATGATATCGATATTGGAATATTTATTGATGATTTTGAAAAAATGAATATAAGTCATACGGAGTTTATATCGACTGTTCGTAGACATGGTTTTAAATTACGTTCTGCATATGGTAATATGACGCATGGACAAGGTTGGACACTTGAATGTCCTCGTTCTAAACTACATTTTGGTATTTTTGTTTTTTATCATGGTGATCCAGCTAATAATGAAACATTTGCATGGTGGACAGCTTCATACAATGGACCGTGTAATACAAAGCGCTACCATAAATGTCGTTGGTCATTTCCAGATTTTAAATTAGATACTTTCGAAATGTATGGACAACAATTTCAGGTAGCTTCAAAACAATTTTTAACAGTACAGTATGGACCTACCTGGATGACGCCAAGGAAATACGGATATTTTGAATCACTTACATTTTTAACTAATCTTATTGATGAATAAGAAAATTTATATTATTAAAATAAAGTACAATAATCTATTTTTTTTTGTTAATAAATAAAAAGCTAGTCGATATTTAAGATAGATCATTTTTACTTGTTATTGTCAATCTAGTATATGTTTTCACAAATCCCTATGTAATAGAAATAATACTCCATAAAACTCTTGTATGAGTGTAACGGTACTAACTGTTACCTATATTCTCTCTGTTATTATTTATCTTTGTTTTCATTTACTTCTGAGCACTGATTTTACAAGTATTTTGTTTGTGGGTTCTAAGCTATCCAATTTTCATCGTTACTTTTCAAACGACTCAGCCAATTATACACACGAATGATTTCACGGAGAATAGAGACTCAGTAAATATGATGTATTTTGTACAAATCTATTTCTTATACTGCAATAAATAATAACTTCGTATTATATGTTGTAGTAATTATGTAACTGAAAGAAGAAATTTGTAAAAGTTGATCTATGATTATTATGCAGATGTGAATGTTGTATTTATATCGAACCCATACTGACACCTGTGCACAACAGAACCTGCCCAAGTATTCGTTTCTTATTTTGGGTGAAACTGCCTATTTCTGGTCGATGATCTCTTCTCAAGTGATATCATTTGATGTAGAATAATCAAGAAGTAAAAGTGGATCCGCTGCTAATTCCATTTACGTTTTTATTATATATTAGTACGAAATGAAGCTTTTCGCTTTTCACCAATTAGAGCCAATACAAATTTCATTGATAAAGTTTCTATTCATGACATTCGAACTAGTCATATAACACTGTTTCAAAATCATGATCATCTATTTTGAGTAGGTGAGTGTGGATGTAGGTGGGGTGGGTGTGAGTAAGATATGAGCATAGCAGGGTGTAGGTGTGGGTGTGAGTGTGAAGATGTTGATGTGGATGTTAGTGTTGATCTATTCTTTACCCACACCCTCAAGAGTCTGAACTGTTCGATCCAAAACCCGAACTTGAGTTAGGGTTCAGCGTATGCGTGATTATAAGTGATTTTAAGTTTGACTTAACAGAACACGTACATCTTCAGTCCCACTTATGCCAGAGGAAAATCTAAACTATGACCGATCGTAAATATATCATTCACAACAAAAATAGATACATCAGATCAATAATATTATCAAATAAAAAAGAGAATATTTATTTTGCAAAAAAAAGTGTGGATGTTCATGGTTCATACTACACCCAAATTTTCGAAATGTTTTTAAAATCTGGATTATATAAATACGAAATATTAAAAAGTCATTCGGATATCTTCAAAATCAAATCAAATGTGTCATTGATTTTCTTTCCAACAAATGAAATTATCATTAAAAATGGCCGGTGCTTCAGCATCGTACAAGTGTACACATGATATATTGGGAATTGGACCACACCATGACCATATCAATTCAATTTTCGAGTGAAGTGGTAGGCATAACGCATTGTCTGCCCAAACACTTGGCCTTGGATCATGTGGTTCAGGTAACCAAACACATTTCCTAGGAGTAATACTGTTATCGTTAGCCGTAGGGCAGTCTTCGCGGCGCATGCTCCATTCTAGTCCAATGTCCTTATTAGTACAGAGATAATTGTCTAACCAGCCAGACGTACTAGGTTCGTTCATTTTCACACACCACCAGCCATTTATGTGTGATAATGGGTTAAAGCGAAATTGAAGCGGCTCGAAGTCATTCTTCAGAACAATGTCTGTATGATTTGTGTTCCCATCCCATATTTGTTTGGCCACTTGGATGCCATCATCGTTCAATGATAGTGATGATGCGCCGATAACATAGAGAAAGACACAGCAAAAAACGAAAAGTTTTAGGAACATATTGTTGTTCAAATCAGCAATTATAGACGATTCGATTTAACAGATGTATTCTTATTTTTCGTATTTTAGAATAAGAGATGCACACTGCAGTATTTGTGAATAGACAGATTGATTTAAAATGCACACTTAATATTTATTGTCTTATTGTAATCGCAAAAACAAATATTTATCTTGACTCACTTACGATATTTCGAAGAAAGAAGTTTTATCTTTTCAAGTTTTCTTTCACGTCTTAAGAGTGGGTGTGGATGAAGGTGCGTTATTCTCTCATCGTCAATCTAATTTCTATCATCAGCCTCACCCTCAAGACATATTGTTGGGAACACATACAGATGGTTCATTGCGTTGCAGTGTGCATCATGGTTTATCTGTGGCTATATTGGAAATTTTCAACTAATAGAAGAAACCACCTTTTCTTTTGTAAAATAAGAATAAGAAGAAAAAAATCATGATCATCATACGAGTAATTCAGAAAAGATAAATCTTATCAGTGTGGATCATCTCTTTCCCTTCATCCACACTCCACACCCTCGAGATGATATACGCAGATACTGATGATAAACAAATAGCATTTCAGTATGCGCAAACTGCACTTAACATTTATCAAGCAAAGTTGCCAAAACATCTCCCTAATTTGAAACGAGCATCTGAGCTTGTTGAATAAATTAGTTCATATCAACGAGAATCTATACTTATACAGTCTCGATTTGATAGTGTTCAAGAATAGATCATGTATTTGAGAGGATATCACGGTGAGAGTGGCCACCAAAATGAAGGGTGTGGGTGTGAGTGAGGGTTTGAGTGTTTCTTTTTCTCTCACACCCACACCCACAGTGGTTCAAATAGATCATTGGTAGTAACAAAAGTGTGAAGAAGTATAAGAATTGCTTTTGATGGATCGAATTTTTTATGAAATTTGAAGATAAGTTAATTTTTATATTCTCGAATAAACAATCGTGCGAATGTTTTTTTGTCTAATAATAATCGCTTGGCATTCTCTCGTTCAAGAGCAATGCGCACAAATTTTTTGTTTGTATATCTGGACCAGTATTGTACTTTTTTACAATTATTTTTATTTGAAATAATTCACAAGATTTGTTTTTTGAAAATTTATTCAATCAAATAACTCCTTACAAAAGACAACTATTCAATACTGAGAAAGAAGCTGCTAGGAAATATATTAATAATTAAAAGAAAGAGACAAAAAATACTATACGAATAATGTTTCGATGAAAAGTATTTGAAATTAGAAGAAGGAGGCTCCATGAGAAATACTATTTGACGCGGCTGAAAATCGGCTTGCTTTTGCACGTGAACCTTTGGCTGCATGTCGTGCATGACTTTCATTGAATTTCACAGTACCAAAAGGTGTTGGAACTTTCAAGGAGTATTTGTCTTTAACACTTCTAGCTTCAGTAGAAGCTACTTCAAATGATGATCCATCTGCTCGACTTGATCGTCGTTTTGTTGAATAGTGATGTGCCACTGGATAACAACCATCATCGCAAAAGAGACTCATTTTCACAATAATTGAATAAATGTTTGAAACTCAATGGGTAAAGTAATGATTTTTTCATTTCTTTATATACCTTTCGGGAAAAAAAACAATTATTCTTTCTACTACGACAACAAATAGTACGAACGTCATTACACATAAAATAATTTTACTGTATCTGACGCATGTAATTAAATAGAACACATGCAGAATGTCTAGTGGTTTGTTCTATGACTTTTTCACCAAAGAGGAACCGTAGAAAAAAATAATGTGTTTTACATGACAAAACATCTCGATATATTTCACACAATGATAGGAAAAAAACTGCTTCATATGCGAAAGGGTATCACTAATTTATGCAAACAACACAAGCATCCAACTTTGTAAAGCCGCATATAGGTCATTTAGATTTCATAATCGGGAATTAAAATACAGTGAGAATGATGGGAATTCTTGAAATCTTCCATAGATATCCTTCAATTTATTCGATGTATCCTATCATGGTTTGATACTTTTGATATGCCAAATTTCTCTCCGTTTTACCCCCTCCCCCCTCTTTTGTCATATGATGAAGCTGTATATTAATATCTGTCTCTTAATTTTCTTTTATTTAAGATACTTCAATATATTTGCCTTTACTTTACCTCTCGCTCTACCACACTTCTTTTAGGACATTTGTTTGCAATATTCTATTATTTAATATACTCGCTTTATTTACTTCTCGCTTAATGTCAAATCATGTGATGCTTTCGCCCTATCTCTTTTCTTTTATAATATATGACAAGATATTTATTTTCGCTTGTGTAATTATTATATATCACCGAAATGCAAACTTGCTTCAAAGATTTTTCGTTTATCTATTTTCATAAGAAAACAAAGACAAATTATATGAAATTGATAGGATTTATTTATTTATACAATATATTAAATATTTGATTGAGAGGTCTAATAAAATTGTTTTCAGTATGAGAAAAATATATGTTGAAATGTGAGTGTAGATAATATATTCATCACTTTTCCAATCTACACTGTCATCCATAACATTCTCGAAAAATTTATTCAGATTATTTATAGAAATGATTTACGAGAAAATAAAAATATGAATTAGGACAACTATTGACAATATAGAATAATTAATAGTTGCAAAAGAGTAAACAACTTCGAAATTTGTGAACAATTTACAATATGTGTTGCATCTTTTCTTCTGTAATTTTTTATAATATTTTTTTGGATGCTTACAAAAGAATGGAAAGAAACAAAGACACAGAAAATCATTATCTGGTCAGGTGGTAATGACACGATTGACACGCATGTTTTTACTATTTTGTTTTATTCTTCCGTTATCGTATATCATGAAACTAATAACATCTTACCGCGAAAAGAAATCAAACCTTCTGATATCTGACCATCAGATGAGTGGAGTTATTACCCATTCTCGGCCACTTTGAGGGGATCTGTGTGTAGGCGAAGGTATCTTTGTTCACTATATCTACCCAGATTCATACCGTCTGGTATTGTCATCTTCTGACAGACGAAAGAAAATTTTCTCTAGTATTAATTCGTCTTTATTGGTTATATTATATGGAATACATAAGGAATATATGAAATATGCGTGTGGGTGCTAGGTGAATTACAGCATTCATATTCACACACACACCCACTCTCAGGAAAGAAAAAACATGAGAATTAATTCATTTATTTAATGAACAATTAGATATTTTCTTCAGATTCTATTTGTGAATTGCGTGTTTCAGGAATGTTATCAGGTTCAATTTGATTATTTATAGAGCAACACCAATATTTCCATCGTTGCCAACATTTTTTTACTAAAACAAGTTTTACTTGACGACGAAAACGTGGCGAGAATATTAAAAAAAGATAAAAGTTGACCTAAATGAAAGCAAAATCTTACAACTATGAATTAACAAAGAAAGTAATTTTTACCACATAATTTATAATGTAGATAGAAGTAAGAATTGCTTGAATCAATTTACCAATCGCATATGCCATAGGCATACTTCGTGGTATAGGAAAACTAATGGTATAAATACGATAAGTAATAAAAGGTAATATTAAAAAAACGAAGGCAATTACACGCATAAGAACCATGGCTGTTATTTGTTTGTCTAATTTGCGACGAACAATTGGTAATTGTCGTCGAACTATACGACGAACATTACGATAAGCTAACATACTAAATGATGATGCAATGACAACAGGCAAGAGACCAACTAAAATTGGATAAAAGAAATATGTTGAATACTGAACCGCTATATAATTCGTTAAGACACATCCTAATATTGGTTGAACATTGTAAGAGGAGCCAAGTGCAATACTATGAATGATCACAAAACAAATGAATATAAACGCAAAGTAACGACCTAATTTCAATGTACACATTTGTCTCAACCTGAAACGATGATTTGTTGAAAAGAATTGATCAACAGCAGAAAAACATATTATATAAAGAGTAGTAAGCCCACATATTTGTGCTAATATATTCTTGAATTTACACCAGATGAAAAAACGTCCTGTTGCATCATCTCCAGATATAGATGTTAAAATAGTTAAACTAATAGTTAAAAACTGATAAAATAAATTGGAAATTGATTCAATAGTTATATAGAAGGCACATCGATTAGTTCGAAATTGTTTCAATTGAGTAAAAACGAGAAGATTCAACACATTACCAATAACTCCAAAACTAAATATAACACAACCAGTATAAAGCGAGTATTGTGTAGCAAAGTTGAGAATTCCATCCGACACGGACGACGATGACATGTTACTTTATTCAAAATGATATATAATTTATTGTTTGTGTTTTTCTTCTTTTGCTGGAAAATCTAGAATTTAAGATAAAAAAAAATATGAGGCATTTTAGCAGAAATTACTGTCACGATTGATAATAAAAGTCTTTCATTACTAGTACGACAATGCTTCTTTTTTCATAGAAAAAGTTTTGTATCTATTATGTCATTTAATCCGACCTATAAATCCTACGGGAAACTATCGAATCCAATGTCGGATTCTCGGTAAAAACCTACCGGTGCCAAATGAAGTTTTAGCGGATTCCTAACTAACGGATTTCGGGTCGGATAACGTCAGAAAAATCCAATCATAGACAAGCATCTGATATAGTAAGGTTCCAATCTCGTACCGTCGGAAATTGACTGGATTTGTGCCGATCGCAGACAGATTAAATGAAAATTCCTCCAGCACTATTATTTATTGTTTTTCAAGATATTCAAAGACCTTACCAATATTTTTACAAAGATTTTAAAAGGTTTTTTCTCTTTGAACTCGATTTAATCCTACAATAGCGCAATATATATACAAGAATCATTCCTAGTACCTCTCAATAAATTCTCTACGATCATATCTCGTATGGGGGTGTACATTAAAAAGGTTTTAAAATGTACTTAAAAAAATTTAAAAAAAGATTTGTATATGTCGCATGCCAGTTTAGCATTTAGTTCAGATAGAAATTCTCCATCGTGTCGTGAATGTTGTGATAAAATAATTTACATGAACAATTTTTTTCTGTTTTTTTAGAATATCAGATTATTTGCTTGAGTATGTTATTTGAAAGGCTTCAATCTTTTTTTATCTAGGTTAAGAAAAAAAGATTTGCACTAGATGTTTATTTTGTAATGTTCGGGACATTGGGACAATATTACTTTCTTTTATCTTGTTCGAGAAAAAAAGATTTGCAAGAGATGTTCATTATCTAATGCTTAGAAAATTGTTTGATTTTAGAAGTTTCAATAAATAGAAAGTATTTTTTCCTTTGAAAATCAAATTGTTGAGGTTTTTACAAATATCTGAGAACTAATATATCGAGGATATTATTCAATTAGTAAATGAATTTTGTACTGAAGTTATATTATTTGTTATTTATTATCTTGATTCATATATCTATATAAAATAACTGAAAAAGAAAACAAACTATTCAACATAGTAATAAAAATCTTCGTCTTTTTGTTACGGAAACACATTCAAAATTTTCAAGTTTTATACAAAGTATATCTTACAATCAGTACATGGTAAACACATGTTTCTAAATAAAACAAATGTAGCTTGAAAAGAATTGATGGAATAGAAAACTGTTTTTATAAATATCGACTTTTTTTCACATCTCTTGTAATAGTTCAATAGAAAAGTAACTGACTTTAATTTATCAAGCATTGGTAAAGAAATAATATGTAAAACTCTTAAAGTGCATATCAGTACTCTATAAAAGAAGTGAAATATCTTGTACGAATATGGTCTATGCATAATCTATTAGGTTTTTTTGTGTTGATCAATGTAAAATCCATCATAGATTCTCATAAAAATAGTTTTCACAAAAAAACATATTAAAATGAATTTTTTTTTAACGGATTAGAAATTCATTAAAATTCGGTTCTTTAATAATCAATGATAATTCAATAATTTTTTTTCATGCGTCGATAATGATATTACCATTAGAGAATAAAGTGATCTCAACTAATACAAAATAATTTGACATTAAGAAATCAGTTTTTCTCCCTTTATCATTATGCAAAAGTGTAACTAATCATGAACGCTACTTTTTTTGTCTTACTGAAGTTGTTTGATATTGAAGCAATTATTACCTCGATATATGGCAGCTATTTGTAGTTACTTATACTTGATAATTACTATGCTATTCATTCAGTTTGATTTAGTTTAATAAAACGCAGCGGCATGAATTTTCAATGCAACCATTGAATATTATTTCGTTTACAGAATGCTAGCCATTATCCCGAATCACATATGTACCAGTAAATGATTCCTGTCAGATCTATGCTATTCAATACGAACAAATGCAATTAATGGGACGCCTGTATTCCTATATAATCTGGCAAGTTTCGGTACCAGTTTTTGACTGGTTTCATCCTAAGATTCGGCATCATGTGAAAATATTTTATGAAATTTTTCTCAAGATGAAATGTTATGTGATTGAATTCATTTTGATCTACCTTCTTGATTTTATAATGGATATACAAAAAGTCATTTTTCATATCAATGTGAATTACTCTCGTTCAAAAGTATATTAACAATTTTTTTGAAATTAATATTAATAAAAATATATTTAAAGATATTTCACCTATTAATGATGTAGATCAGTAAGTTTCATTTGAATCTTGAGGGTGTGGATGTGGGTGCTAGGTGAATATAGCATTCATATTCACACACACACCCACTCTCAAGAAAGAATAGACATATGAGAATTAATTTATTTATTTAATGAACAATTAGATATTTTCTTCAGATTCTATTTGTGAATTGCGTGTTTCAGGAATGTTGCCAGGTTCAATTTGATTATTTATGGAACAACACCAATATTTCCATCGTTGCCAACATTTTTTCACTAAAACAAGTTTTATTTGACGACGAAAACGTGGTGAGAATATTATAAAAAGATAAAAGTTGACCTAAATGAAAGCAAAATCTTACAACTATGAATTAACAAAGAAAATTTATTTACGAAATAATTGATAATGTAGATAGAAGTAAGAATTGCTTGAATCAATTTACCAATTGCATATGCCATAGGCATACCTTTTGATACAGGAAAATTAATGGTATAAATACGATAAGTAACAAAAGGTAATACTAAAAAAACGAAGGCAATTACACGCATAAGAACCATGGCTGTTATTTGTTTGTCTAATTTACGACGAACAATTGGTAGTTGTCGTCGAACTATACGACGAACATTATGATAAGCTAAGATACTAAAGGATGATGCAATGGCAACAGGCAGGAGACCAACTAAAATTGGATAAAAGAAATATGTTGAATACTGAATCCCTGCGTAATTCGATAAGATACATCCCAATGTTGGTTGAACATTGTAAGAAGAGCCAACCACAACGCCATGAATAATTGCAAAACAAATCAATATAAATGCAAAATAACGCCCTAGTTTCAATGTGCACATTTGTCTTAAATTAAAACGATGATTCGTCGAAAAGAATTGATCAATAGTAGTGAAACATATCATGTAATAAGTGGTGAGCGCACATGTTTGTCCCACTATGTATCTTAATTTACACCAAAAGGAAAACCGTCCTGTTGCATCATCTTGATATATAGATGTTAAAATAGTTAAACTAATTGTTAAAAACTGATAAAGTAAGTTGGAAATTGATTCAATAGTTATATAGAAGGCACATCCATTACTTCGAAATAATTTCAATTGAGTAAAAACGAGAAGATTTAGCACATTACCAATAAATCCAAAAGTAAATGTAATATAACCAGTATAAATCGAGTATTGTGTAGCAAAGTTAAGAATTCCATCAGATACTGATGATGTTGACATGATATTTTCTTCCTTTGCTGGAAAATCTAAAATTTAATATAAAAAAAATTATGAATCTTTTTCTCGTCATTTATTATCTATGAACCATCATATTAGAAATTACAGTCACGATTGATAATAAAAGTCTTTAATTACTAATATGATATATCAGTTTTGAATATAGAATATAAAATTAAAATTTAATAAAAGAGTACTCGAATTTCTCACTAGAGTTATTTGTAACTTGTAATTATAAAAGAAAAACGAATGATGTTTTTTTCTTTGGGCTATCTACACATAAATAAGAAAAAGAGAATGTATGTTCATCTTTCATGTCAAAAACAAATATGTCATTAAAATATTTAATTAAACAAAAATGCACTTATAGAACACGTGTTCTAATTCATCTTCGCAATACATTGACAGTAGTCTTTTAAGATATTTAATGTCATTTTCTCCTCAATAAAGATTATCGTTAATGAAGATCTTGATATCTTTCTCACTGCTCAATAAGACTTTTCTAAAATTTTATCAAAAAGCTTTAAATATGACTATAAAATCATCTCGTGCAAACCGCGATCATTTTTCCTCATATTGTTTCGTTTCTAACTAAATAAATACTTTTTAAATTTTAGTGCAAATCACGCCTCCTTATATATGTAAACGTGCTGAAGCCACTGGTACTAGCCACGTCGCCTAATTTTGTTGAGTTTTCGAGTTTGAATATAATTAAAGATAGCGCTATAAAAAATAGTCTTGAGGGTGTGGGTATGGGTGAGGGTGGGTTTGGATGAAAGATAGAGAAAAGAAACCTACACCTACCCTCCACTAGATAAGGACGACGATGACATGCTACTCTATTTAAAATGACATATTCTTTATTATTTATGTTTTTCTTCCTTTGCTGGAAAATCTAGAATTTATTATAAAAAAAAAACATGAGTGTGTTTCTTCTCATTTATTATCTATGAATCATCATAGCAGAAATTACTGTCAAATTGATAATGAAAGTCTTTAATTACTAGTATGACCATGTTTTTTTTTTCATAGAAAAACGTTTGTATCTACCCATGTCATTCAATCCGACCTTTAAATCCTACGGGAAATTATCGCATCCGATGTTGGATTTCTCCGGAACGCGTCAGATTTTCAACAAAAATCTACCGGTACAAAACAAAATTTCATCGGATTCCGGACCGGATAACGTCAGACATTGCCGTAATCACGAAAATCCGATCATAGGGAGACATCTAATAACGTAAGATTCTGATCTGATACCCTATAATAGCACCATGTATATACCAGAATCGTTTCTAAAACCTCTCAATAAATTCTCTACGATCCTCTCTAGTATGAAGATGTTCATTAAAAAGGTTGTTAAATGTAGTAAAAAAAATAAAAAAAAAGACTTATATATGTCGCAGACCAATTTAGAATTTAATTGAGATAGAAATTCTCTATTGTAGCGTGAAAACTGTAATAAAATAATTTACATGAATAATTTTTTTCTATTTTTGAGTAGATGAAATTATTTGCTTGAGTGTGTAATTTGAAAGGCTTCAATCTTTTTTTATCTTGTTAAAGAAAAAAAGATGTGCGAGAGATGTTTGTTTTTTTATGCTTAGAAAATTGTTTGATTCTAGACGTCTCACTGAGAGCGAATATATCGAGGATATTATTCAATTAGTAAATGAATTTTGTAACGAAGTTATGTGTTCGTTATATTATCTTAATTGTCTATATACAGAGTTCGAATAAATAGATGAGGGGATATTCACAGAAGATATACTGATGAATATGTTTTCTCTATTTATATATCTATCTAAAATAACTGAAAAAGAAAACAAACCATTCAACATAGTAATAAAAGTCTTGGTCTCTGTATTACGGAAACACATTCAAAATCTCCAAGTTTTAGAGAAAGTATATCTTAAAATCAGTACACGGTAAATAGATATTCCTAAATAAAACGAATGTAATTTGAAAAAGAATTGTTAAAAAATAGAGAACTATTTTTGTAAATATCGATTTTTTTTCGCATCTTTTGTAAAAATTCAACATAAAAGTAATCAACTTTGGTTTATCAAAAATTAGTAAAGAAATAATATGTAAAATTTTACTGTCATGTAATATGAGAAACAAATTTAGAATAAATAGTATATTAATCTTCACATTAGAGCAAAATTGAAATACAATATTCATTTACAGAAAATGAATCGAAAGAAAATTATCAAAAATAATATTATTTCTCTAAGAAAAGAGGACATGCAAAAAAAAGATAAATTAGAACATATACATAATGCATATGTTTCGTTGTAAATAACCTAATAATAATTGACATGTATGAAGTCCATTGACGATTGCACGTTGTTAAAACAACGATTGTCATAATCATATGTATTAGTTTTAGCAAAGTCTTCTTTGAAAAATAAATTATATTTATATATTCTATCTCATCAAGAAAATGATTAGATGATAATAAATATATGTCAACTTCATGACTAAATTAAAAGTGTTCTCTCGTCTTTTTTTTCTAACAGTGTCTATATCACGAAGCCGGTTGAGCTAGTCAGACTAAAATTTAGCATATATTTAATTATGTCGATGAAACATAAGTGTAACATTGTTTTGGTAGACCAAATGGTACAAGCAATTCTAACGATTAGATTAATTTAAGTACAGTGTTAAAAATATTTAATTCAGCTCTTTATACATATCATGTAATCTCACTTTCACTTTATTTTATTACATTTAAAGAATTGCGAAGAGAATATATCGCAATAATAACCTGCCTGAAACGATTCGAATAATTGCTCAAGGTATGAGTGATATTACGTAAGAAAATACACTATGAATAAAAAATATTTTGATTATAAGATTTTTTTCTGTATAACACACAGCATATATATAATGTATTTATTGAAATAAAATTAAGAAATATATCTTTGATTAATTAAGAGTAGTTAAAATAACTCATAAAGAATAATAGATAGAATAATTGAACACATAATACGTAGATAAAAAAATGTGTATGATGCAATGTATTCTTTTTTCGCATTATTGCTAAGCTAAATTTCGTAATACATCATCATCTTAAAAAATCTTACATAATTACATAACATAATTGCGTTACATGAATGATCTACATATAAATAGACGAAAATAATTTATAAAAGATCACATTTTCGAAAAGTATTGAATTCTAATTTTTCAACGCTGTGATCTTCAATCATGGGTAAAGAAAAAACACTTATCAATATTGTTATTATTGGACATGTTGATTCTGGTAAATCAACATCATCTGGTCATTTAGTCTACAAATGTGGTGGTATCGATAAACGAACAATTGAAAAATTTGAAAAAGAAGCTGCCGAAGTATAGATTTAGATTTTATTTTAATAATAGATATATTTTTGTATAATTGATAGATGGGTAAAGGTTCATTTAAATATGCATGGGTTATGGATAAAGTAAAATCTTCACGAGAACGTGGTATTACAATTGATATTTCACTTTGTAAATTCGAAACAAATGCATTTAATGTTACCATTATTGATGCACCAGGTCATCGAGATTTTATTAAAAATATGATTACAGGTACTTCACAAGTAAGTTCTTTTGTTTTTTTTATCTACGGAATTCTACATATATGAGTTTCCGATTAGGCTGATTGTGCAGTATTAGTTGTATCAGCTAGTTCAGGTGAATTCGAAGCTGGTATTTGCAAGGATGGTCAAACACGTGAACATGCTCTTCTTGCATATACATTAGGTGTACGACAAATGATTGTTATTATAAATAAAATGGATACAACAGAACCACAATTTTCTGAAACACGTTTTAATGAAATTAAAAATGAAGTATCAGCATATATTAAAAAAATTGGTTATCAACCTGAGACTGTCCCTTTTGTTCCTATTTCGGGATGGTATGGTGATAATATGATTACAGCATCAGAAAATATGCCTTGGTATAAAGGTTGGTCAGTTGTTCGTAAAGAAGGTAATGCTACAGGCAAAACTTTACTCGAAGCTTTGGACGCTATTTTACCTCCACAACGTCCAACGGATAAACCACTTCGATTACCAATTCAAGATGTCTACAAAATTGGTGGTATTGGTACAGTACCTGTTGGTCGAGTTGAAACTGGCATACTCAAACCTAATATGGTCGTTAATTTTGCTCCATCAACTTTAACAGCAGAAGTTCGATCCATTGAAATGCATCACGATGACCTTCAAGGTATATATTGTTTTGGTCTATTCATATATATTTATTATTTTCTTTAACTTATAGAAGCTCCACCTGGCTGTAATGTTGGTTTCAATGTTCGAGGTGTTAGCGTTAAAGATCTTCGACGTGGTTTCGTTTGTTCTGATTCAAGAAATGATCCAGCACAAGAAACTCTAAGTTTTACAGCTCAAGTTAGTTTATAATATTTTCCATTCGTATTTTAGAATCTATCATTTATTTTTGCAGGTCATTGTACTTAATCATCCTGGACAAATTAGTCAAGGTTATGCACCAGTCCTTGATTGTCATACATCTCATATTGCCTGTAAATTTGCTGAATTAATTTCAAAGGTTGATCGTCGATCAGGTAAAGTTATTGAAGAAGCTCCAAAATGTCTTAAATCAGGTGAATCTGGTATGGTGAAACTAATTCCAACAAAACCAATGTGTGTTGAAAAATATGCTGATTATCCACCATTGGGTCGTTTTGCTGTGAGAGATATGCGTCAAACTGTAGCTGTTGGTGTTATTAAAGAAGTTGAAAAGAAAGCACCTTCTTCATCTGGCAAAATGGTTAAAACGACTAATTCTGCTGCTGTTAAAAAAGACAAAAAATAGGATTGGTGGTACTTTCGTAAACAAACATCACAACAACATCAGACATTCTATTCTTTATTCTTAAAGACTCATTGGGAAAGACGACGAAAACAAAAAGATTTTTATTCTTGGAAAGTGTGTTTCTCTCATTTGTATAGTCTTGTTTTTTACTTGTTTAGAATTAGTTGTGATCATACGATCTTTTTTTTTTGTGTTTGCGAAAGCTTTTTCCCTTTTCAATTTCTATTTTTTTGTACAATCGATAAAAAAATGAGAAGAAGAAAATATGAACAATAATAATAATAAATATCTATATTTTTACTTTAATCTCTTCTATTAATTCTGAATGCAGATTCTTTATTATTCAATAGATCGCTCACATTTTTTCAATATCATTTCTTTATAAAGTTATATAGTATCAATGGAGATTATTTTGAAAAACAAAATCTTCGATAGAATAACTGATCTGATACATTTTCGGTAGGCAACAGAAAGCAATATCAAGAGGGTAACAGCGGACTTCGAGACTTCAAAGACTTCAAGAGACTTCAGTAAGGGAGGCTTCAATTTTTCGAAAGACTTCAGAAGATTTTAGAAGACTTCGATAGCCTTCAAAAGATTTCAGGAGACTTCAAAAACTTCGAAAGACTTCAAGAGACTTCACAAGATTTCATGAGATTTCATAACACTCCAAAGACTTCTGTAGACTTCAAAGATTTCATGAGACTTCATGCATGAAGTCTCTGTTGTATACCCCTTGGTAAATATATAATGAATCTGTTAAAACATGTACCCAGTCAGATTATACTGGTGCATGCCTATTTCCGAGCGTTCGGAATCTTCTAGATTGACTTCAGAGAGTTATTTCGACCTATTTCGGTAAAACTCCTTTTTTTTTGAAAAGAATGTATCACACTCTCAAGTGACTCCATCTATATCTAAATAAAAAATTTGTCGAGTGATTTTCAAAACGCAATGTGTTTGAGGATCATAAACATTTAGAATTAATTCAACTATTTGTATTTTAAGTAACTATGTCGCCGAGTGAGGATAGAGTATTATTTTGTCACTTTAAAAATTTTACATTAGCTATGTACATGTGATGTAAACAAAATGCGTAGTTATACAAAAAGAAAGAAAGAAAGAAAAATAATGTTGATTTTTGCCATTTGACTAGAGTAAAAAATAAGATTCAGTGAAAGAAACATACAGGCAAGAATACTTGTGGTAAGTCTTTTATTAGATTTATGAATGTAACTTTTCAAATCATTACTTTTGAAAGGTTTTGTATTATCTACGACATTTTTTTCTTCTCCTATAACACAATTTTATTGTCGCAATTAAGATGGGAAATACTACTTCGATAGACAATGATTTACATGAAGAGTCTAATGATAAATATTTTGAAATATTTTCTTTTATTTGGCTTGATGAAAATATATCGAACACTCGCAATGCAGAAGAAAAATTACGTTGTATTATCAATCATTTGAAGAAATTTAAAAATGTTAAACAATGTCAACAATATATAGAACAAAGATCGCAAAATGAGAGAGTAATACTTATTGTTAGTGATCAGTTTGGATTAGAAATAATACCTTTGATTCATCATCTTCGGCAATTAATATCCATCTATGTGTATTGTACGGATACGAGAAGCAATAATGAATGGACATGTAAATTTACAAAAGTAAAATTGTGATATTCAAGGATTTTATTTTATGATTTTTAAATAGATAAAAGGTATTGTTGTTGGATATGATGAACTTGTTTCAAAAATTCAAGCTAATTATATAATTGAGAAGAAAATTGAAGAACCTTTATCAATATCAAATGTGAAGAATAATGAGTTTCTTTTCTTTCAAGTTCTTATTGATTATTTATTGCGAATGAAATTGAAACAAAGCGACAATGATGAACTTATCAATCGTTTGAAACATGAATATAAAGGTAATCCCACAGAATTGAATCATATTTCTGAATTTCAAATGAAATATTCCGCTGATAAAGTTTTTTGGTGGTATACTCATCAGTCATTTTTCTCCAAGACTCTCAATGCAGTTCTACATACTCAATATATTCCCATGATGTTTTTGTTTTGTACATATATTTCTGATATTTATGATCAATTGGAACGTTATCAAAGTAAACGTATTCTAAAATCATATCGAAGTCAGTTGATATCAAAGAATGAACTAGAAAATCTAAGACAATGTCTTGGTCAATTAATTTCCATTAACTCATTTTTCTTTACTGGTAATAATATCAAATATCAAGTAGCGCTCTTATTTTCTGATGTTGCAAACAATTTAGAAAAAATATTATTTGAAATCATTGCTGATCCTAATATAGTTACTAGAAAACCATTTGCTGATATTGGTAGACATACAGACGAATCTCAAGTTTTGTTTATGATTGGTTCGATTTTTCGTCTTGAAAGTATGAAATGTAATCATGATCGAATATGGATTATTCAAATGACTTTATGTGGTGATGATGATTTGAAAGAACAATTTGGAAATGAAAAAATTGATTTAACTGAAATTTACTTTCAGCATTTCTTAGAAGAATTTTCATTAAATGATCCTTTATACAAAGATCTTGCTGAACTTGGATTACAGAAAGATGATTATGAGAAAATTGGTCAATGGCAAGAAAAACAATTAACTATATCAAATTCCAATACAAATGAAACAAATAGTTCAATTGGTAAGTTCTCTTCTTCGTAGAGAAGAGTCCAGTAAACATAATTTGTTTGCTTGTGTGTCCGCAGGGTCAAAAAAGCATTGAAAATCGATTTTTCGAAAAACACATTTCTAGCGGTATTTCGATGCAGACACTTCGAATATGATTTTAGTTTTTGAAAATTCTTTAAAAAAAATTTTTTTTAGACAAAGGACCATTTTTTTACAAAAAATTTGTTTTTTATATAGAATTTGACGAAATGGTTTTTGAGGTCGGGGAATACGAATCTGATGTTAGTGTTTGCAAGTTATATATGCAAAAGGTCCCGTAGCATCGGAGAGCACCATTTCTACGAGAAAGAGCTAAGCGAGTCCTTAGACGAGCGTTATTTGTTTATTAAAAAATGAACTCATGCAAATCTTAGGAAAATATTTTATCATTTTTTTAGCAAATGAAACTATTTTTCCCATTAAAATTGGCATACAGGCTAATCACTATCTCAATCCACAATGGAATGGAAATTATACTTATTTCAACAATATCAATGATAAGCAATACTATTGGACAACACCAATTGATCGAGGTAGTAAACCATACTATTGTCCAATAGGTTAACATACGTTATTTCATACATCAAATATTTTGTTCATATTGTAATTTAGGTTGGAAACGATTGAGTATTAATGTAGCAAATGATGCAAAAGAATATGACAAACGTTGGGGAGATTGGCCAATTGCTTATCATGGAACACTTATTGAAAATGTATTAAATATTCTTGCATCAGGTCTTCGAGTTAGTAGAAACGGATGCTTTTATGATGATGGTATACCACGAGTCTGTCTATCACCAAGTATAGAATATTGTGCTCATTCACGTTTTGCACAACCATGGAATGAAATAGATAAAAATGGTCGAACTACTTGGTATCAATTAGTTTTTCAATGTCGTGTCAATCCAAATTCGATTGGATGTATTGCATCTGAAACAGTATTACCTGTAGAGGCTCAATCAATAGTGAGGATAGATCCTAATTTTAAAAATTCGGAATTAGAATGGATCATATTAGGTAAAAACAATGATGTAGAATTTTTAAAGGATGATATCATTTGTTATGGAATAATGATACGAGCATCAAATGTTAATCCAAAGTATTTATCATCATCAGCATGGTGGAAATATAGTTATGGAGCTGATGTGTATAATAAGGAATTCGATTGATAGATTTCTCTATGTTTCATTGCATATCTGTCGATCAAATTTGTTTAGACTAGATTTTTTCCAGTAAGCAAACAGAATCCATATCTGAATGTATTTCAATCTTAAAGTCAATTAGAGAAATAGATCATAGCCTTCATTTTACAACACATATAATTATTATATTTTTATCAGAGGTTATGATTACTAGTTATCCTTATATTTTCGGATGATTTATACTTTCTAAAATAAACATCAAAAAAGATGTTTCAACTGATATGAATAAAGTAAAACAATATGATAAAATACTAATGCTCTTGATTTTCATAACAAACATACGAGGACGATAACCAAGAGATCTATGATAACGTTGTATTGTACATTCTGAAGTATCAAAATGTGTGAATAATACAAATTCAGCGGTAGAAGCTGATTAAGTTGTTTGATTTGTGTTGAATCGAGCGCAGGTGGACGACCATTCAAAAAGTATCACTACATTGAGTGCTATCTCATATCTTGTGAAGCTTTAAATGACATTATAACTGATGATACAACGATTTTTAAAAAACGAACTTATGACTATTTATTATATTAAGTAGTAAAAAGTTTCTGACAAATAATTACTTAGAATTTTAATATATGATATCAAAAGCGAATGTCCTATAAATTAATATTCACAAGAATTACTCAGATATTAAAACACAACGATAGTAGACGGATCCAGTTGATACTATTGCCTTTGGATCCTCATACACATAATCCGTGTTGACTGCCATAAATTCATGTTTCTGATCAAAATCAGATTGTAGAAAAGCATTGACATTTCCTCTAGTTGGCACAGATTCATAAGATGAATATCGCAAGAGTGCATAGAAACATCCAATTGTTAAATTATTTACTGTAACAGTTCCAAGCATTTCTATGGGATCTTCTCGAAATACTGGATTAGGTTCATCACATTCAGAAACAGATAAGTGAACTGGTAATGTTACGGAATCTTCATCAACAATACCAGTAATAGCTATACCATACTCGACCTATAATATAAACATGTTTATCTATGTTAAATTATCAAATTATAATGAAAATATTTACAAACAATGGTAAACATCCTTCATCATCTTCATCATCATCATTACTTTCTTCTTCATCACTTTCTTCTTCATCATCGTCGTCATCATCTACTCCATCATTGATAGTTTCTCTAGTTGCTCCAAATTCGTCTTCGTTGAGATTTTTCTCGAATCGTCTATCCTCATATAAATCATGATAGATGATTTTATCATGTGGATCATATTGATCTTCATTTTGATATCGTATGCCAACTGCTGGAACAATATGATCATAATCTTCATAACTCATTCCGGGAAGAAAAATACCAAATATGACAGGATGTCGTCGTATAATTGATCGTTTCATCCAATCACAAAAATGACGAAATTGTGGTTGAGGAGAATTAATCCAATCCCATTCATTGTATGTGAAATGAAGTATTGTCAAAGTACGCAATGGTTCTCGATGATCATTGGATGTCACTGGCTGCAATAGATATTCACCTTTATTTATATCACAGATCAATTTTTGAGAAATCCAAGCACCATAATAGAGACCTAATCAAATCAAATACTTATTATTTTTACTGTTCATAGACAAAAAAATATACCGATAGACTGAAGAGCTGTTTCACCACAATAACCATTGCCATTATCCCATTGTAATCGTGGTGGAATATTAAGTAAAATAGTTTTCTCCATTGTTGTTTCAGTATCTTCTTCGATTATATTCTTTGAATTCATATCTAACATTTATGTTAAAAGTTCGACTATTTATTATCTAATATCTTTGTATTTTTACCTCTGAATGACTCATAAAATTGCACAATATACACAGAATGTTGTTTTCGAAATATCCATGCTGATAATGACGTTAACTTTTGGATATTTTCCTTTTTTCTTTGTTCTTGTTTTAAAAGCTTTGATGACTAATACCAAGCTTTACCTTTTTTATTTTTACTAAACTGTAAGACATAAATATATATTTATTGCTTTAT